TTTGTACCCACGTTCTCACTACACGCGGTTCTGTTGTCAATAAACACACACGACGATGGTTCTGCCACCAACGTTTACGTTCTCTGTGCGTGTGTGTATGTGCTATGACTCCTGACCCTGGGGTCCCATGAGGAGCTGGTAGCTGCCTCAATTGTGCCTGTAGCGGTAACCATAGTGATCGTATACTATCGTCTATGACAGAGCTGGTGATTTTTCTGGACTGAAAAAAATTGGACTGCTTGGTCCCCCCCCCAGTTAAAAAAATCCCATCTGCGCCCCGATCATCATAACACTATCAAAGAAAAGATTCTATCAAAGAAATGAAAAGTGTCTGCGTTTTGAGAAGTGTTCTCTCTGAGCTCTGGGGCTGGAGCTGACACGGGAGCGAGCTCTGGGGCTGGAGCCAACACTTGAGGGTGCTCGGGAGGAGCGGGCACTTGAGGGCGCTCTGGAAGGCGCTTACGAGGAGCGGGTACTGGGGCTGAAACCGACACTGGGGCCACATGAACGCTTGGAGGGCTTGCCATATTAACTGCCGACTGACTTGACTCGGGAACTGCCGGCTGAGGGGTTCCGGATCGGGATCGGAGACTCTCCAGACATCGGATGACTGTCTCCTTCCAGTCGAGGTCGGTGGTGTCTGGGAGCTCCGTGGGATGATGGAATGCCATCCCGATCCAGAACAGCGTCACGAGGGTTTCCCCCTTGAGGGAGCTGGCGAGGGCGAGCAGCACGAACGCCCTCGCGAAGACGATGAGGTCTGGGCTCGCCTGAGCCAACATGACAAACATTGCTCATTCCTCCATTTGGGGACGTGGAGGAACGCGTGGAACGAACGGGGAAAACAAAACACTTGAAAAAAAAACGAGAAAAAAAAGACGGGGAGAAAAGGCACCACGCTCACTTTCTTTATCGGTTGGGTCTTCTGTCACAATTCACTTTGTGGAGCAAATATATGAGAGAATCAAGATGCAAAATACAAACTCTCAAGCAGCATGTGGTGAATTGTAATGGTTTTTACAATTTTACATTGAAATACAAGAAGTTTGATCGCTAATGGACAGGAGTTTAAAAAATGTGTTGATAGTTTAGAAAGCAGACCGCAAATTATATGTATACAGGAAACATGGCTGAAAACGCATTTAAACTTTGTTTTACAAGGATATGAAGCAGTACGAAGAGATAGGGGTGTTGGAGATGGAGGTGGAGTTGCTACCTTTGTACAAGAAGGAATAGGATTTAGAACAGTGCAGGTAAATAAGGAATATGAGTCGTTGGTGGTTGAAGTTTGGGCCGAATCACAAAGTATATGGGTGATACATTTTTATAACCCATGTGAAAGGTTAAGTAGAGAAACTGGAGAGTATTGGGGGATTAGGAAATCATAAAATGATATGATGTGGGGATTTTAATGCTCACAATACGCTATGGGGAAGTGTACATAATGATCAGAATGGAAATGTAGTAGAAGCTAGAATCAGATATAAGAAAATCTCAGATTAATAAAGAAGTATTAGTTGGTGTGTTTTTAGACATAGAGAAAACGTACGATATGATGTGGAAGGAAGGACTTTTAATTAAACGGAATAAAATGAATATTAATGGTAGAATGTATAATTGGATTAAGGCTTTTTTAATTGATATAACCATTCAAGTAAGGATTGGGTCTTCGTACTCAAAGAAATATGCAATTGATGGTACTCCACAAGGTAGTGTGGGCAGCCCTATATTGTTCAACATAATGGTAAATGATATTTTTAATACAGTTGGACCAGGGATTGGAAAGTCTTTATATGCAGACGATGGTGCTTTATGGAAAAGAGGTAGAAATTTGTTGTATGTAGAAGAAAGTATGCAAAATGCTATTAAAGAAGTTGAAATGTGGGCAAGTAATTGGGGATTTCGAATATCAGTGGAAAAAACTAAAATAATATGTTTTTCAAAAAAGAAGAAAACACCAGTTGTTAAGTTAAAATTGTATGAGCAAAAACTGGAGCAAGTATCTGAATTTAGATTTTTAGGTATTTGGTTGGATTCAAAGATAACATTTGCAAAACACATTCAACAGATAGTAGATAAATGTAAAAGAGGAATAAATGTACTGAGGTGTTTGGCACGAATAGATTGGGGAGCTGATAGACAGTCTCTAAAAAGAATATACTGTGCACTTATAAGGTCTACATTAGACTATGGGAGTATGATTTATGGAACTGCCTCAGCATCTCTGTTAGATAAGGTGAATAAAATACAAAACCAGACATTGTGATTATGTTGTGGAGCATTTAAAACTTCTCCTGTATCAGCTTTACAGGTTGAAATGAAAGAGATGCCACTGCAGCTTCGCAGGTTAAAGCTGAAACTGGTATATTGGGCTACTGTAAAAGGGCATTCAGAAATACATCCAGTTAAAAAAGTATTAG